TCAATTCAAATTTGTGTTATCAGGTTTGTAAATCTCATGGAAGGGCACATTTGGATCGAGAGTGAGGGTCTCGGCAGGGGTACCATTGCAATATTTATTGTCAAACTTGGGTTTCCTGGACGCTCAAATGAATCCAAGTTGTCCATTGTGCCCAAATTTCCTGCAAATCGGGCCAAACTGAATTTCTCGGGCCTCAAAGTTGTTGTGATGGACGACAACAGGTTAGTAACACAAATTGATCTTCCTCATATGTATCTTTCGGTAATTAAAAGCATGTTTGCTTACAAAATGATTTATTCACAATCAGTTCATATTCTAAATCAAATTCAACTTCAACTCAATTCCACTATCCTCAATATTATCAATATAAAAGATACTAATCAATCATTTTTACCCATTACATCAACTTTAATTCACTATTCGTCCATTCACATAATTTTAACTATCACTTCACATAATTTCTCTACTATTTTTACATCATTTTATTTCGAATAGTATTTTAATATAAAATAAAAATCCCACCAACAACTAATCATCCAACTTTTTCAAAATTAATCCTGGTTAATCACAAAAGCTCATTTTGAGCGGATTTATTTGTAAACAACATTTCCTAACTCATTGATTTTGTTATTTTTGCTAGTGTGGGCCGTATGGTGACAAAGGGCCTTTTGGTCCACCTAGGATGTGACGTGTTGGCCGTTGGATCTGCAGATGAGTGCATCCGTGCCGTCAATCAAGAACATAAAATCTTGTTCTTTGACATTAACATACCCGGGATTGATACTTTTGAGGTGGCAGTGAAAATTCACGAGAAATTCGCGAAATGGGCCGAAAGGCCCATGATTGTGGCCCTAACAGGGAACACTGATAAAGTAACAAAAGACAACTGCATTAGAGTCGGCATGAAAGGTGTTGTGCTAAAGCCCGTTTCTTTGGATAAAATGAGAAGCGTACTTTCTGATCTCTTGGAGCACGGCTACCTGCCTGAATCTCATTAAATGCTTATTTTGTAAGGAAAAAGAAAATCGATTATTTATACGGCCCAGATGAAATTGTCGATCGTTGGGGATTTTGATGAAGGTGTGAAGATTATGGTGAATTTTAGCTCTCTGGAGAATCAATATATATAGAAGTTGGTAAAATGTGTGTGCTTCATGTGCATGCACAAGAAGGTGAGCTTATTTTTTTTAACTCTGATTGACTGTAAAATCCTGTGCATACACTTTAGATATAGAGAAATGAGAATTGTGTGTTAGAAAAGTATTGCAAGTATACAGAGGGAAAAGAGATTTAGGCTTGTGCTTTTTTGAACTGAAATTGTGTTCAATATTTTTATTTTTTTTTTTATTTTTTTTGTGAAAATTTTTGGAATTTATTCCAACGTGCTTTAGATGTTGAAAACTTTAAACAAGTCATTTCCAGTGATAGAGCACATGTATGATATAACTGTTCTTATAATACTTAACTAATGGATATCAACTATGAACTATCAATATCAAATCACTTTTATTTTATAAATAAACTATCTATAAAACCGCCTTTCGTATCAGTCCAGTTCAAAGCATTTAACCACTGCTTATGCCCTGAAATTGTTCGAACTATTTTCAAACTGGTGGTGAACCGGTAACTGTTCGAATGGGTTAGGTGGTTTGCTTACAGACGGACTTTATAAGCCAACCATGGACCAAATATATGTTATCAAACCAAACATTTATGTTGTTCTGTTCACCCGAAAGATTAAATTATAGCCACAAATTCAATGTCATTATTTTCAATATTATTAATATAATTAAATAATATTAATCAATCATTCTTCTACATCAAGTCAGTGGAACAATGTTGCCGTAAAATCATTTAGTAAAAACTATTTTTGTTTTAGCAACATAAGAGAATCAAGCACCTCCCCAATGTCCTATTTCAGAGGTTTTCTTTGATACAGTGTCATAAGTTGGCCAAGCTCTTCTTTGTGGGCAATTAACAAATCTACCATTTGCTTAAACATTTACTCTTTTCTGCAGCAGTTAGCTTGCTCCAACTTAGGTTTACAGTTGTAAATTAATCAGACTACAAAAAACAATTTTTGGTTCCATAATAATTAAGAAATAAAATAGAAATAACTTATGAAATTCATATTTGAGCATAAAGAGGAATAAAGAGGAAAAGGCAGACACCAAAGGAATTAGGAAAACTATGATACCATGACAAATCCAGCAGTTCACTTGGCCAGCAGTGGTATAACTCACACCTTTTACTATTCCATTTTACATCAACACAACTGACTGAAATGTCACAATGTTCGGTAGGGCTCCACATCACACATCCGATGACAGGCAGATAGTGATTGCCACATTATCTACAAATAATACGCCAGATAAAGCAACTGGAATACCAGCTCTAATACCTCTCTAATACCTCACAGAGGAAACCATCAATAAGCAGGAAAAAGTGTAGTGTTCTCCACACTAGGTTAAGGAGAGCAATAAATGTTTGACCCCGAGTGAAAATATAATAATGCTCATTGGTTTTAGAAGATACTACTGATTGGCTCGTAACTGGCTACATGAATAAAGATTACTAGCAGTTCTGCCGAAAAAAGAAGAAAAAGTGGGGAAAAATAGAAGAGTTGATGTGTTAGCCTTAAGAAACTTACATGGAAATGCATCATGTGTTGAAGCAACTGCATTGTTCGTCTCCCTTCTACCAATGCACAAAACATTTGTTATATCATTGCCAGTTGCAGAATTTTGGACCTGCCATGAAAGGCAACAAAGTATAATACTCACAATTGCATGCAGAAACACCTCTTCACAAATTCAATTTCCTGATTTGTCCTTTCATGGGAAACAAGTAGAATGTCTAACCTCAATCGTCTTCCCATCATATGCATTGGTCCACTTCCCTACTATAAATCCCTGAATTCAAATAAAGTCCGCACTGTTCAAGCGAGTAACAATGCTCTGAGCATCTGTACTCATCTGCCATAATCAAAATTGCCTTATTCTCAAATCACGGTTTCCAATTGGAGTCATGCATGTTTACAACACTAAAAAACAAACATTGAAGCGTGGAATTCAACTACATGAATCAATAAAATTATGAACGAAACCTTCCATCCACTAACGCATGCAGCAAATTTAGCAAAGATTAGAGAACTTTCCTCACGAATTAACTGGAAAACAAATCCAATACAAGTGTGCGTAGTTTTTACCCAACAATCACTTTCTTACCTTCAGTTTCTCAGCAACAAAATCGATTCCCCCAAAGCACAAACAAAAGCACGATCTGATCAAACAGGAAAGGTACTTACTTACTGCTACAGATAACCAAACGAAATTAAGCAAAAATAGGAGAAGATAGATAAATTTAGAGTAGCCAATGAGAAAACGTAGCTGCAGAGGTGGGTCGCGGTTGACGAGAAAAGGAGAGGGGGGGCGAGAGAGAGAGAGTTTATAGAGCATTGGCAAAAAGCCATGCCTTCCGTGTACTCCGATTTCGATGGAGCACACGAAGAAGTACTTATACGCCCCACCGGACGGCCTCTTTCACTGTACTCCCATTTGGTCTTCTTGGGCCGACCTATTGAATTTTCCTTTACTGTATAACCTTGTTGGTCTTGAGAATAGATGAACTGATTCACGTACCGCACCGTCGAAGGATCGGCCGTTTCAACCTCCTCGACAAGGCTCCGAAAAACTCATGATCTGTCCATCCACTAGTCGATCCACTCTGGTCACCTAACCGTACAAAAAATTATACAACATAGTCTATAAATGAAACAATACATAAAGTATACTAAAAGATCTAAAAAATTAAACAGAATTTAGAAAAATTATATTTTGTACATGATGTTTAGATAAATTCTATAAATTTATCAATCTCGCAATTATACATGGCTCTCACACCTCTAGTGTGCTCCAGAACCTGTGATCGGCATATCAATAGTGTGTGACAGCCTTAGGTCACAGGCACAAAGAAGTCCATGAGTGTATCTCAATACACATCCGTAGTGTCGCGAAACATCTTTGCTCAAGTCTCGCATCCTCTTAAACTCATCAACCAATAAATCTAGACAATAATACGAAACCCGCAGTCTCAACTACGCGAAAGGAAATCCCTTGTAACCCGTACTCATCGTAAGTCTCGAAGACTCCAGCGTGTCTCTTGTAATACATTACATAACATTAGACTCACTTAAACTTATAATTATTGCAGTAATAACACAATAAATATGTATAATTTAAGGAATATACCTGATTTGAGTCAGTTGAGACTCAATCTCCGTATGAATCTTCCCCCACATTGCGTCGAGCGGACCGGTTGATGTGTTAAGCCACTGCTTCAACACAGCGTGGCCACTCTCCATCCTACACGACGTTGTGTACCAAAATGTAAACAGTATTCATCCACGCTTTGACAAACTTCTTCTTGTGGACTAACCATGTTTGCTCCACATATTCTAGCACACGAGAAAACGTCGCGTACCGGACATACATATCACCTACGGCACTGTTGTATTTCTCCACTGTGCTCGCTTCGACAATTTTCTTCCACCTGCCGTGCGTGAACTTATGAGCGAAGGCCTTATTTTTTGCTCCTACTCGATAGACCATGTCTTCCACATCCTTGTTGATGTGCCACGTGCAAAGTAAGTAGGGCAACTCTGGGAAATTTCTCTGAATAGGAGTAACCAAGCTCCAACTCCCTGTCAGTGATAATGGCTGAATGATGTACATCAGACCCTATCAGAAGTCTCAAACGTTGTAGAACCCCGTCATAGTTGTACTCGGTCTCGTCTTTGATAATTGCATAGGCAATTAAAAAGTTCTTGTTGCACGGCGTCATTCCAATCATTTCCACCAACAGCATCTGGTACCTATGCAAATGAAAGCAACAAGAAGAAACATAGAATCGAAAAACTTACACTCAAACATACTAATTAAAATTCACACTAAATTGTTATTTATAAAGTAATATAACATACATGTTGGTTTGTACGTCGAATCTATACCGACATTCCAGTAATATGTCCGAAATAGACTGGCTGCTTGAGGATGCGACATTAACACGTGTGAACACCTGTGTGTCCTGATCAACATTTGTGTAAACTATATATACTTATTAACCTTATCCAAATGCAGAATATAGGCAGCCACATCTCTACCCTGTAAACTATCTCTCCGCAATTTAACTTTATAGTTATACACTTGTCGATGAATAGCGTTGTCTACAGGGTTTTTCTCCTGAATCGCAGCCAAAATTGCTGACGGTTTTGCCTGAGCAGCAGTCATATCACGGACAATCTCTTTAGATGAATCACTAATTCCGTTCATTTGTCGATGACCCTCGGGATACACAGGCATTGCATGATTATGCGTTCCCTTTTAAGTATTAGAAGGAATCCAGATAGACCATTTTTTAGATTCTGGCACAAATTTGACTTTTATCAGAATAGGGCATTTGGACGCTTTAGTTTTCGAACATCTGAAAATAGCCTTAACTAACCTATACTGCCTCTGTAACGTTCCCCTCTATGACACTTCAAAACCTTCTGTTTTCCTTATTTTTCGTGGGTTTTGAGGTGTCATCGAGGGCAACGTTACAGAGGCAGTATAGTAGATTTAGTTAAGGCTATTTTTAGATGTTCGAAAACTAAAGTGTCCAAATGCCCCATTCTGATAAAAGTCAAATTTGTGCCAGAATCTAAAAAATGGTCTATCTGGATTCCTTCTAATACTTAGAAGGGAACGCATAATCATGCAATGCCTGTGTATCCCGAGGGTCATCGACAAATGAACGGAATTAGTGATTCATCTAAAGAGATTGTCCGTGATATGACTGCTGCTCAGGCAAAACCGTCAGCAATTTTGGCTGCGATTCAGGAGAAAAACCCTGTAGACAACGCTATTCATCGACAAGTGTATAACTATAAAGTTAAATTGCGGAGAGATAGTTTACAGGATAGAGATGTGACTGCCTATATTCTGCATTTGGATAAGGTTAATAAGTATATATAATTTACACAGATGTTGATCAGGACACACAGGCGTTGACACGTGTGTTCATGTCGCATCCTCAATCGACCAGTCTATTCCGGATATATTACTGTTATGTCGGTATAGATTTGATTTATAAAACCAACATGTATGTTATGTTACTTTATAAATAACAATTTAGTGTGAATCTTAATTAGTATGTTTGAGTAAGTTTTTTGATTTTATATTTTCTCTTGTTGCTTTCATTTGCATGGGTACCAGATACCGTTGATGGAAATGATTGGAATGACGCCGTGCAACAAGAACTTCTTAATTGCCTATGCAATTATCAAGGACGAGACCGAGTACAGCTATGACTGTATTCTACAACGGTTGAGACTTCTGATAGGGCCTGATGTACATCCTTCAGCCATTGTCACTGACAGGGAGTTGTTTGATTACTCTTATTCACATGAATTTCTCAGAGTAACCCCACTAACTTTGCAAGTGACACATCAACAAGGATGTGGAAGACAGGATCTATCGACAACGAGCAAAAAATAAGGTCTTCGCTCAGAAGTTCACGCACGGCAGGTGAAAGAAAGTTGTCGAAGTGAGCACGGTGGAGAAATACAATATTGCCTTAGGTGATATGTATGCTCAGTACGCGACATTTCCTCGTGTACTAGAATATGTGGAGCAGAAATGGTTAGTCCACAAGGAAAAATATGTCAATGCGTGAACGAATATTGTTTTACATTTTGGTAACAAAACGTCGTGTAGGGAGAAGAGTGCCCACACTGTGTTGAAGCAGTGGCTTAACACGTCGACCGGTTCACTCGACACAGTGTAGGAGAAGATTCATAAGGAGATTGAGTCTCAACTGACTCAATTAGGTATATTCCTTAAGTTATACATATTTACTGTGTTATTACTGCATTAATTATAAATTTAATTGGGTCTAATATATAATGTATTACGAGAGACGCGCTGGAGTTTTCGAGACTTAGGATGAATACGGGTTACAAGGAATTCCCTTTCGCGCAGTTGAGACTGCGGGTCTCGCATTACTGTCTGGATTTATTAAATGATGAGTTTAAGAGGATGCGAGACTTGAGCGAAGATGTTTCGCGGCGCTGCGGATGTGTACTGAGATACACTCATGGACTTCCTTGTGCCTGTGACCTAAGGGCGGCACACTCATGATGGTGAATGCACGTTCAAACAAGGGGCGGTTTTGATTGCTAGGTATAGAGCACGAAAAATTAAACACGTAGGAGCACATAATACGGACAAACAATTCATATAAAATCACCTAATGCAGTCAATTTAAGCAGATAAAGCCACATAACTATTATTATTATTATTAATATTATTATAATTATTATTATTATTATTATTATTATTATTATTATTATTATTATCATCTCTTCTTCTCCAAGCACGACTTATAAACTTAAATAAAAGGTCTATGATACTTCACTTAAGCATGGTAAATTCAAATATTACAGAGCTTCAGTATCATAACAAAATGAGGCCAAATAACAACACATAAGCATCATGATCTTCTTTCTTTCCTCTATTTTTTTTTTTTTTTTTACTTAATGCAACAATAACTCAGCCTCAAAACTGAAAGTAAGACTCTGATAAATACACATTTTTAGCAATATAACCATCACCAGAACATGTAAACCAGCTCAAATCAGAAAATGCTTTCAATAACTTGGGCAAGTCATGTCTAATGCTTAATTTTTTTATATTCCATTCATTAAATATAAGTTTGTTTCCAGAACAACCTAGCTTAGGTAATTTTTACCAGCCACATAGATGCTTCATCTAGTAAATAAATTCTCCAGAAAGTCAAATCTGTCATTAATGACAACATTGATAATAGTTCTAATACAAAGCAAACATTTCCATAAGTGGAAACTATCAATTACATGGCATTCTGCCTTGGGCAGGTTTTGCTCTGTGTTTGATTTGTTTCCAGTTATTTTATTAAAGGAAGCCAGCTGAAAAGAAGCACCCAATTGCGGCAGCAATATAATGAGCACTGAATTTATAGAACATGACAAGTTCAGATGCATCAATTCCTTAACAAACTGTGCATAGTAAAATAAAAAGAGGAAACACCAGTGCCAATTTAATGTCATGTCAGAAATCAAATGACAACCAGACTGGACTTCTCAATTGACGCCGGCGGGATGCTGCAGTGGCGGTTCGCGGCTCGGACTGAGGTTCGCCACTCGCTGGCCGGTGGCTCGTACGCGGCGGCGGTTGACGCCGATGATAGGGCTGCTCAATCGTGA